CCTCTCCTCTCTCTCTTCTCCTCTCTCCTCTCCTTTCTTCTTTTCTGTTTACTTCCCTTCTCCTCTCTGGGTTCTGTTATCTTTTGACCTCTTTCATATTTTGTTCTATTTTTCAAAACACAAATATGTCAAGTTTCTTTTCTCATTATTAATTCAACTAGCCATGCTATGTATACGTGTGTCTCTTTTTTATTTCTCTGCTTGAGTTCATACATTATACATGTTTACATGAAATATGATAGTGAAGTGGCTAACATATCAATTAGAGGTAACCTATTCCAAGTACTGGGAGCTTCTTTTGGTGACAAGAGATGTCCAATTAGAACTCCATTTCCCACCTTTTATTTGGTGATTTCATTTAGATTACCTTCACACATGTATATATTTTAGGAAGCTTTTACTGTATTCGGTTTCCGTGAAACCCTTCAATTCTTAGTTTGAGCTTTCCTTCCCCATATTCTCTCCCTCTTTCCCCTTCTACCCCTTCCCCATTTGATCCTCACATTCTAGACTGCCCACCCCCAACTTAACCATCCATAACTATTTCATTTTATCTCCTAGGGATACCAATCCCCCTTAAATTTTGTTCTATGATACAAATAAGTAATGCAGGAATAATTAGATCCATTCAGGACTTGTTTTTACATATTCTTCTCCAACACCAGATATATTTAGTCTATGTAGAGCACACAAGTGATATGTGTTCTTCTAGGCACTGATCCAAGCTTCATTTGAGCTAGAAAGTGGGAACTCCAGTTTCCTAGGACTCTAAGTGAATTCTGGAAACTGCTGCCTTCTTCACAGTTGTTCTTCCCTTGGCCTTAAGCAGCTTCCTCACACACATGTGAGCCAAAGGTTTAAAGAGCATCTCTGAAAACTTCGACAGTCTTTTACTCCTCTGTGTGTAGTTTTCTCTTTTTAAACCCTCCCCCCTCTCTCTTTCTGCAGAGAAAGTTGATTCATTCAAGGTGTCCACAGGAGGAGGAGTAATAAATAAAACTGTCCAGGGCTCTGACTCTCTAGCTCAAGTTAATCATCTGTGTTCCTGACATGAGATTTTGTTTAAAAGGAAGTAAATAGTGTGCATAACCAAACAGTCCAGACCACAGTGTCGTCCCATCCATCAGGGACATATCACTGTCTCAGCACTAGCTCTCTTGAACATGATGTGATGGTCCAGATCAAGGTGTGGTCCCATCCATCAGGGATATATCACTGTCTCAGCACTAGCTCTCTTGAACACAGTGTGATGGTCCAGATCAAGGTGTGGTCCCATCCATCAGGGACATATCACTGTCTCAGCACTAACTCTCTTGAACACAATATGATGAATTACCTGAATTGTGCCAAATCTCTTTCTAGGAGACAAACCCCCCATATCAGTGGCAATAGACTTCTGTCTTTTATCCCTACTAGCATGAGATTCCAGTTTCTTGGAGACCATTGTTTCAATAGTAATAGCCAACCTGAGGGATTCATAACTCTCCCTTTATTTCTGACAGTACAGCTACAATTGTATTGAAATTTTCATTTTATATTTAGAAATAAATTGAAGCCTAAAACGATTTCTTTTATAACATTAATTTCTTTTTCCCTTGACTAGCCAACAAACAGCTTTATAATATTGAACAGCTTAATCAAGTTAGAAGTTTGAGTATCAATTGTTTCTGTCTTAGACTTTGAATTTTTCACCTCTATCATTGAAATTATGTATATTTACTAATTGGAATTCAATTTTAGGCTATATATTCTATATATTTATAAATTTATATATATATTTAAATATATATTTATTTATTAAGATATATTCAAATGTATTTTATACATTCAAATATTTATAAATACATATTCAAATATATATTTGAAACATATAGAACGATTGTTAGTTATTGAATTTCAAATTATGAAGGTAAGTTTCTTCAACATGCCAGAAAAGACAGGGGAGAAAATAAAAAGACAGGGGAGAAGTCAGAAATTCTTCAGGAGATAAAGTAGGAAAGAAAACTTTTGTTATTAGTTACTGGTGGGCTATAACAAGAATAAAGAAGTATGTAACGGTAACAAGTTTGGTTTCTGACATATGAACTGCCATATTCATTTTAATTCATGTGAACTGTAGATTGGGTTAGTTAAATTTTCACACATGGCCAGACCTTTCCCTAGAAACAATAGTCTCTAGGCAAATTATGAAGAGGATACAGCTCCTGAATCATCAGGATCTCTCTCTACCTAAGCTTGGTTTACAGGAATATCTTAATTCACTGCTAAGCCTGCCAATTGAAGACAAGTTTTAAATTTAAACGCTATGAAGAAAATATCAAGAAAAATGTTTTCTTGGCTTACTTTAATAAATAAGGCTCCCAGTTTTCTTCAGAATCAGTGACCCCTCCACTTAATATAACATGCAAGCAAGCTCTTACTTTCAGCCAAACTAATTTTCTGCTCTTGCTTCAAAGAAGATTAGAAGCAGGGAGTGAATGACTGAAGGTGGTTACATTTTAGTGGTGTAATGTGGCCACTGACAGCTTGACAGTGAGAGTGAGCAAACAAAATACGCAAAGAACCACGGAGCAGTGTAAGTCCTAAAATATCAAAACCTTACACAATCAAAGACAGCAATAGGAGCATCTCTCCATAGTCTACAAAGGAAAAAATACTGCCAATATCTTCATTGAATAAAAAATTGAATGTTTAATGCATTTTATACCATGGTTTTCTTAAAATGTTAAGTAGACTTATTAAAGAGTATTCAATTGACTTCTCTTTTTTTCTATTTACCTTTAGTGACCTTTTTTGGTCCAATCAGGGTCTAGAATTCTAAGACCAAGAGTACAAGTTGAAAATGCTGGTGTGTGAGCTGCTTTGTTTCTAGAAATTGAAG